CTATTTGCAAATATGTCTAAGTTCGAAATATACGCCATTGCATTGGAGTAATTCTCGGCGAACTCACTTCTTCGACCATCACTTCCTATCTTGTGCTCAGAGCATCCTTCAAACATCTTTGATTGGTCGTAGCATTTGCCCAGGTTATACATGTACGTGAAGTGATCCATTTCGTGTTCCAGGACAAAGGCGGGTTTGCCTTGCTTTACACACGCTCCCAACGATCTCAGGGCACTGAACTGTTCCTCGGTGGAGAAATATCCAAACATGTGACCCAAACTTGGACCTTTATCTCGTCTTAACAGTTCCATGCCTTCGTTCTTAGCGAAATGCTTATTTTCGATCTCTTTGCCGATTGCCCATTTAGCAAGAAGTCTCATGACGCCGTATAGCTGTGTGCTTGTCTGACAACCTGACTTTGCAGCGATCTCTTCGATACTCATGGATGGCTTTTCGCTGTTGCAGAGCAGTTCAGGAATCTTTAGACCAACTATGACAGCAATGGATCGGTTTTTCCATAGAGAATGCATTATGGATAGCAAGAAAGCTTCTTGGGAACTAACGGCCATTTCTTTAGGTGYTCGCTCCATAGTTTGAAAGTATCGACGGTACGTGCAAATGACCAAATAAGCTCATTGCAATTCGATCTGTTGATAGCATTTGCATATCATGCATTTTTTTACGCGTGGAGAAAGGTCAGTTCATAAGAAATCGTTCTAGACTAAAACCTAATTTTAATATACACCTACTTGTGAAAACGTTGTCATAAAATATAGGACATTTGTATTTAGTAAAAAGGAATGAAATAAAAAGACAAATAAAGAAGATCAATGAGGCTGAACGCTTTCTTTTGTCTTATTTTAATTGATTCCTTTTTACTTAATTCAAATGTTCTATTTTCTATGACAACGTTTCTGCAAGTAGGCGATGTATATATAATTTATARCTTAGACTCGGACAAACGCTTGGTGACGTCTTTAAAAAAGTTCCATGTTAATATCCAATCTTCAGGAGAAATAACTGTTTACAAGTCGTTTGGGACTTTTTAGGGGTTTTATTTAGCTTTTATTCTATTTCAATTACAGTTGTTTCAACGACTTTTCACAAAAAAACGTTTAGTACTGGAACTAAACGTCAGGCAGAACATTGTTATTTCGGTCTTTGTTGCATTTCTCTTGTTGAATTAATTGAAATTACAGTTGTTCCGACGATTTTTTTTAATGTTTTTGACTGCCTAGTTCTGGGACTAAATGTCAGGCTACCTGACGTTTAGACACACTGTATGTGATAAAATTAAAAAAATCAATAGTTGAAAATATCTTGGTCAATTTCAATCCCACATTCACCAGTTTTTGCCTGGTTGATCGGACCAAGGGTATGTGTTACCATCATAACAAAAAGGTGATAAGGCGTCACGTTCCTAGTTATATATCTGACCTTAAAATTATATTGCACAATCACAAAGGCGGGTACAGCTGAAATATCTTGTAAAGGCTCGAAGGATCAAATCATTTTTTACTCGGGGTTCTTGCGGAACCGCGAGTTTAAGTTTCGGCTTTCTTTATTGTCGTACACAAATTGTCTCGRCCAAACTAGAATGCACTGGGTACGAATCACGTGACATTCACAASTTCCATGTGCTATCTTTACATGGTGTCGTCGAGGTGTCGTCTTTGATACGARATGGAAGACATGGATTCAACTTTAAACACGCTCAAATCTCTTACAAATCCACACACCATTCGCCGTATAGCCACACTAAAAAAGATGTCGAGCGTTTTTCGAAAGGGCATTTTGAGAGATACCGCGAATTTATCGTGAAACTTATCGTGAAACTTTATATCGTGAACTATCTATCAAACAAGCTASCAATCTTATCAAAAGCGAACTCTATACGAACTGATTCTAAAGGCTCTGAAACTGCAAAGGACTTCTCTAAGG